AAAAGCACTATGCTGATGAAAGTCCAGCCAGCCACCAGCTTAATTTGCCCAGAGGCATCTATAAATATAAGTTAGCACATACAAATGTGCATCAGAGCCCGCGGCAGCCTTTGATTAACTGTTGGGTAAGGCTGATAAGGGACGCACTGTGGGTTAAACCACAGAGCCTAGAACTTGCCGATCAGAAGGTCAGTGGTTTGAATCATCGTGATGGGTGAGCTCCCGTTGCTCGGTCCCTGCTCCTGCCAACCTAGCAGTTCGAAAGCACGTCAAAGTGCAAGTAGATAAATAGGTACCGCTCCGATGGGAAGGTAAACGGCATTTCTGTGCGCTGCTCTGCTTCGCCAGAAGCAGCTTAGTCATGCTGGCCACATGACCCGGAAGCTGTACGCCGGCTCCCTCGGCCAATAAAGTGAGATGAGCACCGCAACCCCAGAGTCGGCCACGATTGGACCTAAATGGTCAGGGGTCCCTTTACCTTAAGGCTGATTTGACCATGACCCCTGTCCCTATGTAGATCTTCACTCACTCCCTTGTTCCCAGTGTAGGTCTTTCTTTTCCTGCGGTAGATTGCCACTCACCCCTTCTTCCCTGGTGTATGCAGGGGCACCATTTTGTGGGTTTGCCTTAGGTGCCAAAATGTATTGGGCCGGCCTGGTCATGGGTATGTATCACATGTCCCTTTGGATTCCCTAGCAATGCCCGTTACCAATGCACAACCAGGGGTTGTGTGAATCAGAACATCTGGGTGGGAGTCCTAAGTTAATGTGGTCATATGACCCACCCAGGCATTTTTGCACAGAAGTTACTCCCACCAGAATCCCAAATAATCATCCCATAACCAAAGATACCACAGTGGGTGTCACCCATGGAGGTTATAGCAGTGAAAAAAGGAACACAGAAATAGTATGGGCCATGTATCAACAACTACTAACGGAAGGAGAGGGTGAGATAAGATTAAAAACCCTATGAGGAGATTAGCAGATACTGCAATAGCTGGTTGCAATACCACCAAGTAGTTCATAGATTTAATCAGGATAAAAAGAAAGGCTTTGAAGAAAAAGTGTCCAAAATTGCAAAGTGAATTAATACAACCTAAAAAAAAAGACCATCTCTAAAATGTATAACTTGCTGTTAGAGTGGGAACTGGAGGATGAAATAACCAAAGAAGTAATGATAAAGTGAGCAAAGGATTTTGGTCATACAATCCAACTGGAAAATTAGGAAAGGTTGTGGAAGGTGGATATCAACTTCACAGCCTGTTATACGATAAAAGAGAATATGTTGAAAATGTTTTACCGCTGGTACCTCACTCCAGAAAAAAATTGGCTAAGATGTAAGAGGGAGGTGGGAACCTTTTATCACACATGGTTGGGATGTAAAATTGCAAGGAAATTTTGGAAAGAGGTATATGAGGAGCTGAAAAAATTATTCAAGATTTCGTTTGCCAAAAAGCCAGAGGCTTTTTTGTTAGGCCTAATATCAAACGACATTCCCAGAGATAAGAAAAATGTATTCCTTTACAGCAGCAGCCAGAATACCGATCGCAAAGAACTGGAAGGGGGAGAAAATACAATCATTGTTAAAATGGCAAAGTAAACTCTGTGAGTTTGTGGAAATGGCAAAATTGATGGTAACTATTAGAGGCCATTCAAAATCAGACAATAATTAAAGAGTGGGAGGGAGTGAAGGAATATATGGAAAATATGGTTCCGGAACTGGAACATTAATAGAGAACGTGTAAAACGTGCAGGGGTAAGCAAGGAAATAATAAAAGAATCAATTGAACAATGATTAAATTATAACAACACAACAAGACGGAAGTAGTAAAAAAAAAATTGAGATCACACATGGGTGAAGGGGAACTTTGTTGTATTTGTATACAGCAAAGAGAAGTTTAGAGTAATATTTTTAACAATCATCATCATCATCATCCCATAACTCACGCACACACATTCATGCACACTCTTTCTAAGGCCACATTGCTTTGCATCCCCAAGTACGAGCACAATCAATACAGTTTCTTCTACTTATGCAAAATTCATTCTAAGCACCTGCCTTACCAGGATGTGGAATC